AGATCGAAATTTCGATCCACCCCGGGCACGAAGATGTATTTGGACCTAAGGAAGGAGTATTGGTGGCCCTGTATGAAGAGGGATGTAGCGTGGTTTGTCGAAAGGTGTTTGACCTGTCGAAGGGTAAAGGCCGAACACCAGAGACCGCATGGCAAGTTGCAGCCATTGGAGGTTCCCGAGTGGAAGTGGGAACATACTATGGACTTTATCACCAAATTGCCGAGGACTGCCAGAGGGAGTTGATGCAATCTGGGTGATCGTGGATAGATTGACCAAGAGCGCTCACTTTCTTGCCATCAGTGAGAGTTCTTCGGCGGAGAAGTTGGCAGAGGTTTACGTGAGGGAGGTTGTATCTCGGCATGGGGTGCCGATCTCGATTGTTTCAGACCGCGATGTGCGGTTCACTTCCCGTTTTTGGAAGAAATTTCATGAGGAGTTGGGTACTAAGCTGCATTTTAGTACCGCATACCACCCCCAGACCGACGGTCAGAGTGAGCGGACGATACAGACACTCGAGGACATGCTTCGGGCCTGTGTTCTGGACTTTGGGGGTAGTTGGGACACGTATTTGCCTCTGGCGGAGTTTTCCTACAACAACAGCTATCATTCGAGCATCGGTATGCCACCTTTTGAGCTGCTGTATGGTAGGAGGTGTCGGACTCCCATATGTTGGGGAGAGGTTGGGCAAAGAGTAATGGGCAGTACAGAGATCGTGAATCAGACGACAGAGCAGATACACTGGTCAGGCAGAGGTTATTGACCGCTCAGAGCCGACAGAAGAGTTACGCGGATAGACGCCGGTCCGAGCTGGAATTTCAGGTCGGTGACTTTGTTCTCCTGAAGGTCTCCCCTTGGAAGGGAGTGATCCGGTTCAGGAAGAGGGGCAAATTGGGGCCCCGGTTTATAGGCCCGTTTCGTGTGATTGCCAGGGTAGGCCGGGTAGCCTATCGGCTGGAGTTGCCAGCAGAGTTGGGGCAGATTCACAACACGTTTCATGTGTCGCAGTTGAGGAAATGTATAGCCGATGAGTCGGCAGTGGTTCCACTTGAGGATATCCAGGTCGATGCGAGCCTGAATTATGCGGAGAGACCAGTGGCTATTAGGGATCGGAAGATCAAGGTTTTGAGGAACAAGGAGGTACCTCTGGTGTTGGTTCAGTGGCAACATCGGAAGGGATCAGAGATGACCTGGGAGCCGGAGGGTATGATGCGGGAGCAGCATCCGGAGCTGTTTTAGAGTGGGACTTCGAGGGCGAAGTCCAGTTCTAGTGGGGGAGAGTTGTAACATCCAGATTTTTTCAGGTATTATATAAATTTAATTGTGTTATTTTGTGAGAGGGACTCGGCGAGTTGGGGCTTGAACTCGCCGAGTAGGGACGCAGAACTGATCGGGGGTGCGGACTTGGACTCGCCGAGTCCAGGGTATGGACTCGGCGAGTACTCGCTGTGTATTGGAACCCTAAATCTCCGGGTTGTGGCCTATTTAAAGGGCCTTATGGCCGACTTTTGTGCTCACCCAACCCCCAGAGAGAAACCCTAAAGAGATCTAGAGCGTTTGTGAGGAAGGAGAGGCCAATCTTGAACTTTTGTGGGTGTTGTTGCAAGAAGGAAGTGTTCAAGGCAAGAGGAGGCTGAAGGAGGTGCGATTTTTGTGGTCTTTGAGCTCATAGAGGCTGTATTGAGGTATTATTCTCGGACCTTCTTCACTTTTTGGTGTTTATTCTTAGTGTTAGGGTTTTCTAACCCTTTTAGAGGTTGATTAAGTGGAGTAGTTGGTCCCTTCTCGAGTTGTGTTTTGGATCTGGACCCAAAGAGGTCCAGAGACCTTAACCCATGGAGCTTTATGAGTCATTTTGGGAGTCTTGAGCTTGGAATGTCATTTTTGGGGCTAAAGCACCATTTTGGACCATTTAGATGTTATATGTGTGTCAAGGTCCCAACTTTACGTGATTATCATGCTTGGGGAGGCCAGATCTATGATTGTATGGAACAGATCTGACCTCAGAAGTTGTTTTGAGTTCGTGCATGGCATGAACTCGCCGAGTCCAAAGAACGGACTCGGCGAGTAGTATGAAGGTGGCCCGTTAATCACTCAGTGAGTGGACTTGCCGAGTTGGGGGAAATGACTCGGTGAGTCAGGGAGAGTCAGGGGTCTAAGTTCAAGTTGGAACTCGCCGAGTTATTCTGAGACTCGGCGAGTTGAGTCGGGGTGGCCCACGATTCATGCTAGGTGGAACTCGTCGGATCAAGGGGAGTACTCGACGTGCCAAGAGAGGATCTAAGAGAGTCAGTGGACACGTGTAGACTCGCCGAGTCGCCCTAGTGCACTCGACGAGTCGGGTCAAAGTTTGACCGTTGACCTTGTTGACTTTTAGGGTTGAGTACAGTTGTATTTATGAGAGTTTTATGTGATTAGGCGGAGGCTAGATCACACTTCTTCCGAGTCAGATATTTACCGAGACATCGAGGTGAGTCTCCTCTCTATACTTTACCTTGAGTAGGTAACCAGAGTTATGTGATTGAGTAATTGTATGCTATGTATGTTATGTGTTGTACTGCATGATTTCTATGTGATTTATGTAGTGCATGTTATTCAGAGCTAGAACCTGAGGGTTCACGGAGTTTGGGTGCACGGACCCACAGAGTTATAGCCTCGAGTGGCTAATATGTGTTATATGTGGTATTTTGGGGAACTCACTAAGCTTTGTGCTTACAGTGTTGATGTTATTTGTTTCAGGTGCTAGTGACGACCGCGGGAAGGCGCCGGCTTGATCCGTACACGCACGTTTGGAGTTTTTACATGTTGATCTTGGGATTTTGTACTGTTATGTTGAACTATTAAAATGGTTGTTTTTATGAGGAACAAGTAAAATGGTTATTTTTATGAATATTAATGGAATTATGTTTTTATGAAAAAAAAAATTTTGGCTTTAAATTTCCGGTGTTACAACCATTTTCTAACTTTTCATCAAAAAAAACTTTTATAAACAAGAAAAGAGATATCTAAGTTATGGTTGGTAGATTGATACAACAACATTTTCTTTTGGTTTGTATAAGAATTTGTCGTGATTTTTTCTTACCATTTATGTGTTCATTTCAAAATTTGCAGCTGCCGCAACAGCTCCTATTCCTTCAGCAGGTAATAATCATTTCAATGTGTTTCATCCTCCTTTCCTCTACCAAAGTGAAAAAGTTTAAACATCATTTATCCGGACCAGACACACACACAGTTGATGGGAAAATAAGAAACTAGTTGCTTCTTTATCCTTTTTCTTTTTAGTTATTTTTAGTGGTTAATTTCATTCCCTTGTTGTGTGTCTAGTCAACACTATAGTAAAACTTGGTAGAGAATGGTTGGAGGATTGTAGTGTTAAGTAGGATTAGTTGGGTGGGGTTTTGTTGGTTGGTAAATTTGTTGACTATATCTAGCAGGTTTTAAGTGGTTTGTTTGTTCCTTTTGTTTCAGGCAGAATTGCAACTTAATTTCCAGAAAAGTAGCGACCATGGAATCTTTTCTTTGTTACATCCAAGGTTCAGCGGTGTGTTAGGCGAAGCTCTAGACTTGGTTGCTAGATGGAGCAAGGATGTGGTTAGTAGTTGAGTTAAATCAGATGTTTTGTTTCAAATAATAGTTATATATTTAGTTTTTTCCTTTGATAGTTTAATGTTAGTTTGGTTCAGATAACTGTTGAGAAGGTTGTTTTGGAACAAAGCAATAGCCAGTATAAGCTTCAAGGCTAATACGTGTTGCCCAGGTCACGAGCTGGAAAAGAAACAGGAAAAGGGAACTTACTGAGAAGAGAAATGGCTGGTCATTTAGGGAGTGTGATATCTTCTATGGGTCGCTGAGAATGAGGCTTGAGGTTCCACATGCTGAAATTGATGAGTGCTTCCACTTGCTAGGCTTATTTCCCGAAGTACCGATCCAGCTCTTCAGTTTAGATCAAAGGTCATCCTCATTCATTCATTCATTTATTAAGTTTTATTTTATCATCCAAACCCAAAAAGCTCTCATCTAAATCTAATGTCTTTTATGTGCAAATCATATGAGAATGAATGAATGAATGCCCTCTACCAAAATATAGCAAACACAACCAATCCTAATCCTGTTCATATACCATAAGAGAAAGTAAAGTAGGTTCCTTTCTCATACATTTGTTTGGTAAACAGAGTAAATAAAGTAGGTTGCTATTTGTTGCAAAGCTCTATCTAGTCTAGGGGTATATAAATATTATATGATTTTAGGTGACGTTGTTCCCCATTACCTTAATGTTGATCTTGCATTGGGAGATATACGTGTTGCAAAGTGTATCAAGTCTGACTACCCATGTGTCCCATTGGAGGAAGCTCAAGGTTCTTTACTTCTCTTACACTGTAATAATCCATCTTCACACTTATTTTGTAGTTATGTTTTTTTTTTTTTTTTTTTTTTTTTTTTGCAGGCAATATAGATACTCTGAGCAAGTTCATACATTTAGAGTCCTTGAACGGTGTTACTAAGGAGGAGTGGAGACAAGTGAGGCACACATTTAAAAAAATCAGCACAAATCTTGTTTACAGTGAGGCACACATTAGGTTATTAGAACTATTAGTTTGTAAATTTTTATTACAACTTCTATTGATTTGTTTTATCTTTCCATGGAACGATTATTTGTATGACATTAAATTTATGCAATGGATTCTATTTTTTGTATATGATATTTTATTTTCTATTATGAAACATTAAATACAAATTTAATTTGAAAATAAGTAAATCTATAAATACTATTTTTTTTGTAAACATTTAAAATTATGATACGCAAAAATGTGTGTCATCTTCATTTATGACATGGCCTTTCTTGACAGGGGCTTTCTTGATACGTATTGCGTGTCATTAACATGCATGTCGTAAGGTTACGACACGCGAATGCGTGTCGTCTTCCTTTATGACAGGGTCTTCCTTGATACGCATTGCGTGTCATAAACGCGCGTCGTAAATGAGCGTCGTAAATGCGCGTCGTCTCTCTTTATGACAGGGCCTTCCTTGACGCGCATTTGCGCGTCGTCTGAGCCTTTTACGACGCGCAATGAGCGTCGTAAAAGGCTTTTTTTCTAGTAGTGTATGGATGGTGACTGATCAGAATAAATGTGTAGTTTTGTTTCATGACATTTATTATGTTTTTATGTCATATTCGTTTCATGAGAAATGATGTCGTCACAATTTTTATGTCATATTCGTTTCATGAGAAATGATGCCGTCACAATCTTCCCAAATTAATAAAATATGAATTTATTTCTCTAAGCCGAATGTTTCTTATGTTTTATTTATTTATTGAAAAGAAATATGAATATTCGCAAAAGAAATAATAAAGATATATTTCTTGCAGACAATGCAATAACACATAGCGTTTTTAATAATGAAAAGTATTTTGCTTACTTATCAATTAGAGAAACAAATGTTAATATAATAACAGGTAATGCAAAAACGATTGAAGGCTCCAGAAGAGTGAATATAATATTACAACAAGGGATATCAATTACAAATTAGTGATGCATTATTTTCGTCTAAATCAGCAAGAATGAAGGCTCTGGAAGAGCGAATATATTATTACCATAAGTGACAATAATTACAATTGGTGATGCATTATTTTTATTAAAATCACCAAAAAAAATTATTAAGTTTTAAGGATATTCGGTCTAACAGATATAGTATTGAAACAACTAATGATGGTAATAAAAATTATCTCAACATTACAGAAATGATATCGGATAAGAAAAGTTTTTTTTGTAAAAATTACTTGTATTGTCCTCTGGATTGTACTATACAACTATTACAATGATTCATGCTATTGAAAATATTATAATGATTCATGTTATTGAAACTAAAAAAGGTATGATATTACCTTCATAGTTTGGCATGACCGTTTGGGCCATCGCGGATCAATTATGGTAAGTAGAATAAATGAAACTTCAAGTGGTCATTCCTTGAAAAACCAGAAGATTTTTCAAGATAATGAATTGTGTTGCATGCTCTCAAGGAAAATTAATATTCAGTCCATCATTGAACAAAGTTGGGTATGAAAGTCTTAGTTTCTTACAAAGAATTCAAGAGGATATATATATGGACTAATTCATCAAACACCATGTGGACCATTTAGATAATTTATGGTTTTAATTGACATGTTAACTAAATGGTTACATGTGTGCTTATTGTCTAGTCATATTTGGTTTTTGCAAGATTACTTGCATAAATAATTTGCCTAAGGGCACATTTTCCGATTACCCAATTATGAAAATTTGACTTGACAATGTTGGAGAATTTACATCATAAGCTTTTAATGATTATTCCATGTCGATTAGGACAACTATTGAGCATCATGTTGCATATGTTCATACACAAAATGGTTTATTTGAGTCGTTAATCAAACACTTTTAATTAATTGCAAGACCATTACTAATGCATTCTAAACTTCCTATATTGACATGGGGCATGCAATTTTACATGCAACATCACTTATATGCATAATGACAACTAGTTATCATGAGTTCTTCCATATTCAACTGGTTTGCGGTCAGTAACCAATTATTTACCATCCAAGGATGTTTGGATGTATAATTTATGTACCCATTTCTCCACCTCACTTCATAAAAATGGGTCCTCAAGAAGAATGAGAATTTATGTTGGATATGAATCTCCATCTATAGTAAAATATTTAAAAACATCAATTGGAGATTTATTTACAGCTATATTTGATGATTATTATTGTGATGAATCATATTTTCCAACATTAGGGGGAGAAATAAAGAAGCTGGAAAATAAAATCTCTTAAAAGGAATTGTCACTTTCAGTTTTAGATCCTCGTTCAAGTCAATGTGAACTTGAAATAAAAAAGATAATTCATTTACAAAATGTAGCAAATCAATTTCCAGAAGCATTTACTGACCCTAAGTGGGTAACAAAGTCTCATGTACCAGCTATACTAACTCAAGTTAGAATTGATATCCCAGAAGGAAAAAAATACAACTGCGAATGAATCTTAGGCACGCCTGAAGCGTGGAAGATCAGCAGGTTCTAAAGATAAAAATCATCGAAATGAAATGAAGCAAATACAATTGATGGTCCAAAAGAGAAAACATAATTTGTTGAAAAGATTAATGAAGCTCTAGTAGGGCCCAATGACATAACAAAAGAAAATAAAAAATGAAAATGATGAGATCTCAATAAATTATGTCATGATAGGAATAAGATGGAACCTAAATATGATAGACGTCGACGATAATTTTTCATATCATGTTCCGCGCGCGATTATAAAGAAAATGAGGATCTTGAACCTAAATCTATTGAGTAATGCATGAATAGGAAATATTAGCCAAAATGGAAAGATGAACTAAATAAATAGTTTAATTCTATTACTCAATGAAAAGTTTTTGGACCTGTAGTCCGTACACCAAACAGAGTAAGAACAGTGGGACACGAATGATTATTTGTGCGCAAAAGAAACGAGAAAATTGAAGTTGTGAGATATAAAGCAATACTTGTTGCACAAGGTTTTACCTAAAGACCCGAAATCGATTATAAAGAAACGTATTCTCTGGTAGTTGATGCAATTACATTCAGTTATTTTATAAGTTTAACATATGCAAAACTAGAGATGTGTCTAATGGATGTATTTACCGCTTATTTATATGGTTCACTTGAAAATGATATTTATATGAAAATCACAGAAGGGTTTAAGGTGTCAGAAGCACAAACTTCTTATTCTCGTGAAGTATATTTGGTAAAATTAAATAAATCTTTGTATAGATTGAAACAATCTCGCAGTATGTGCTTCAATTGTTTTATTACATTTATGTTGAAAGAGTGCTATAAAAATGACCCATCAAGCTCATGTGTATTCATAAAAAGATCCATATAAGAATTTATCATAATTGATGTTATTGTAGATGATTTGAGCATAATTGGAACTCCTAGAGAATTGGAAAAAGATCACTTCTTGTTTGAAAGAAACTTTTGAAATGAATGATCATGGTAAGATGAAATTCTATTTGGGTCTTCAAATTAAGCACAAAAAAAAAAATAGAGTTTTTGTACATTAATATCTAGAAAAGGTGCTAAAGGTTTCATATGAATAACTTACATACATGAGTAACCCGAAGGTGGTAAGGCACTTAGATGCCAAAAAAGACCAATTTCAGCATCATAAAAAGCATGAAAATCTTTTTGTTCCCGAATAACTATATCTTAGTGCTATTGGTGCACTAATATATCTTACTATTAATACAATACCTGATAAATCTTTTGTCGTAAACTTATTAGCAAGATATAGTACTTGTCCAACAAGAAGATATTGGAATAGAGTCAAACACATTCTTTGATATCTTCGAGGTACAATGGATATGAATTTATAATAATCAAATTCATAAAATATGAAGTTAATTAGTTATCCAGATGCTGGATATTTATCTGATCCACACAAAGCTCGATCCCAAACTGATTATTTATTCACTTGTGGAGGTAACACAATTTCTTATCATTTTGTTAAACAAACTTTAGTTGCTACTTATTCTAACAATGCATAGATTATAGCAATTTATAAGGCAAGTCATGAATGTATTTAGTTAAGAACTTTAACTCAATACATTTGCAAGAATTGTGGTCTAACTTCTAACAGGGATGTTCCAATCATACTATATGAAGTAAATACAACTTGTATAGCTCCATTCAAGGAAGGATTTATCAAAAGAGACAGAACCAAGCATATATCACCAAAGTTTATTTCACTCATGATCTTCAAAAAGAGTATGACATCAACATCTAGGAAATTCAATCCAGTAACAACTTTCCTGATTGGTTTACTAAAGCACTTCCTACATCGAAATTTGAAAAGATGGTACGAAACATTGTTATGCGGTGCTTCAAGAAAATCAAGTGATGTGCTAATCAGGAAGAGTTGGAAACATATTGTACTCTTTTCCTTAGTTATGTTTTTCCCACTGGGTTTTCTTAACAAGGTTTTTAACGAAACAATTGTTTCCAATATCTATTATTAATCATGTACTCTTTTTCCTTAATAAAAGGTTTTTCCCATGAGGTTTTACCGATTAAGGTTTTAACGAGCCATAATACAATCATCATTCAAGAGGGAGTGTTATGAATTATTATTTAGTGAATGACTATTGGATTCTCCATATTCCCCCATTACTCTCCATAATTAGTGAACATTATAGCAAACATTATTATGAGTTTATGAATATAGTTTTGCACCACTATAATGAACATTCATATCATACATCACCTTTCATCTTCTTTGTCTAGTATAAATAGTGAATATCATGTATTGTAAAGTTTAATGATTTCATCACAAGTATTGGAATAAAAGTTCTCTCTCATGTCTTTCTTTACTTTATAATTTATCTTGTTATTTGATCATATTTTATAACAACAAACAATATTTCACAAAATTAATAGGGCAAATTATACAAAAATATTATATTTTTTTTGGATTTTGATACTTTTTTAT